AAAAAAAAAAAAAATAATAATAATAATAAAAAAAACGCGATATATCCGCAGTTTGCATTAACCCGCTTTCATACCCGTCCCGTAAAATCTAAAACCTGCGGGCTTCCTACTCACGGCAGAGTTCCACGGTTTCGCCGCCGTGAAAACACATCTGAACAAAAATGTTAGCAATTTTTTACAGGAGACGACTCGGGGTCCCTCCAAAAGACTGTATTGTCTCTTCCATCCAATTCCGGGCTCCCCAAAATGCAGCCTTCCTCAGGCCATTCTCCACCAAGAATAAAACACCAACTGTTCGAGAAAATGCCTCAGAGAATTCTTTCGCCGTATCGTACCTCATCAACACATGGGGGCTGTCCGAAAAGGACGCAGTCCTCGTATCCTCAAAAATCCGCCTCGAATCGCCGGAAAAACCGGACGCCGTCCTGAACCTCCTCCGGCAGTACGGTTTCACACACGCCCACATCCCCAAACTCGTCACACGGTGGCCCAAGGTCCTCTCCTCCTGCCCGGAACGAAACCTCAGCCCAAAACTCGAATTCTTCCGGTCATTCGGCATCCCTCTTCCCGTCCTTGCCAATAAGCTTTCCGGGCAGCCCTTTCTCCTTACCCGCAGCCTCAAACACTCGATCATCCCTACCTACTACTTCCTGAAAGGCCTGTTGAAATCAAACGAGAGTGTAGCCCGCGTGTTCTTGCAGGCTCGGTTCGGCCGGTGCTCGTTACACGGGTTAAAGTCTAACGTCTCCATGCTGAAGGAACGTGGGATCCCGCTATCGTCCATTGTCCACATGGTCAATCACTTGCAGACCCTTCCCGTGGTCAAACAAAAGCTCGAGACTTACGTTGACTTGGCGGTCAAAATGGGGTTCAACGTCTCGACTAGCACGTTTGCTTATGCCGTGAAGGTTTTCGTAGAGTTGGGCGAATCTAACCTGAAGCGTAAGATGGATATCTTCAAGAAGTGCGGGTGGTCAGATGCTGATGTGGCGTCCGCCATGCGCAGGTTCCCCAACTGCATGAATCTGTCGGAGGAGAAAATCATGGCCAACATGAGTTTTCTCGTGAAAGAGCTCGGTTTTGAGCCGGGTGACGTGGCAAAGTGCCCGGTACTCTTGAACATGAGCTTAGAGAGGAGGATGAGGCCGAGGTGCATGGTGGTTGGGATTCTTGGCGAGAGGGGTTTGCTGAAAGGCGGGAAAGTTTCGAGCTTGAACACGATGTTGAAGTTGTCGGAGGAGGATTTCTTGAAGAAGTATGTGGAGAAGTATGAGAAAGATGTGCCAGAGCTTTTGGATATCTATCAGGGAAAGTTGAGCCTGTCCGGGCCCGTTAAACTGTTTTCGGGCAAAAAAAAAAAGTAGTGTAAAGTGAAGTTTTTAATGGAGGGTTTTGAATTTGAGGTTTGTGGAATAGAGTAATAAACATTGTTGGGATATTTTGGTCGCTTGTGATGAAATGAGATTGTTAATTACTTGTGGTTTTTCCTATTACGTTGTTACTTGTGTGATTTCGGGACTTTCATCTCAAGAGGTTGTGTCGAGGGAGTGCATTTTCCGATTTGTTCTTGTTTTTCGTATTGCTTTGGATATCGTGTTGTTATTCACGTGGTCTCGTCTCGAGGCCTTGTGTTGTGTGGTGGATCTGCTGTAGTTGTTGTATGAAAATTTCTCAGCTGCCAGACTCTAGGTGTTGAGGGTGTTTTTCTCAGTTAATTGTGTGTTTTTATGTCTGATAGATGTTAGAAAATTGGAGCTATCCTTGTTGCTAACTCTATTTATAAGTTGTAACTCAATCTTAAATGCCGTATATAGTGATTTTCTTATCCTAGAGATGATCTGTTGGAGTTTGGTAGATTGTGTTGTAGAAATTAATTAAAATAACGAGTTTCAACACATATACGTATTAAAAATTTGTAGATAGAAACCACAGGGACGTAAGATGAGCCAGATTTCTATTAGTAAATAAATAAATTTATTATAAAAATAAAAAACTTAACTGACATCTATCGAATCACAGAAAATCTGTTTGCCTTGAAGAAACAGACGTCCCGTTACTGTGCAGCGAATACTACGCCTTTTCTCCTATAATAAGACGACTAAAAATGTGAAGATTGCACTATCAAATACACTCACCTCGATCAAAATCTCATTTGTCAAGAACCCTTAATTTTTATAAGTCTTTGGAGAATAAAAGATAATACACGTATATTTTTTTTCCTTTTCCTTCACTTGGTGTGTTCTCCCGTAGGCTTGCATGCACACTATTATAGTGTTTCTAAGACAATTATGCATTCAATGAAGAGGAGATGTCTTAATGCCTTCATTAAGAGAGAAGAGTAATGAAACTTTGAGTTTCATCTCACATCTCAAACCGAACACGATTAAATTTTCTTCACAATGAATTTGGACAATACATTTGTAACATTAAACATATCATTTTATTTTTATCTAAGAATTCCCACAAAATACATTTACTCATTTTTCATGTAACTCTTATTACATCATACTGAAAAACAAATCAATGCATAAAATTCTCTAACAAATAAGTGGTCTGCCTTGTGAAATTATACCAAATTTATATAATTCCATAATGAAATATCATAAAATGAAAATATATGTTTCAATATGATAAATTATGGTACCTTAACAACAAAAATTGTGATATACACAACCAACTTTATTGAACTCATATTAATTCATTTTTACTAGAAGAAATTTGTTAAAGGAAACAAGAGAACCAATATCATATTGTGGACCATATTATTCTTCATTTTTATCATTGAATTATTGCATACATGAATAACAAGAATCCAACATTCAAAAAAAAAAAAAAAA